AGTTTGGCACGTTTGTGACGGCGGGCTCCGACGGCACCTACAACTTCTGGGACAAGGACTCCAAGCAGCGGCTGAAGGCCATGCAGAAGTGCATGTACGGGGCCGACCCCGCGCCCATCCCCTGCGGCGCGTTCAACAGCGACGGCAGCATCTACGCGTACGCGGTGGTGGGTGGCGCCGCGACGTGCGGGTTTGCGTGTGAGTGTGTGTATGTGTGTGTGTGCGTGTGTGTGTTACGGTTTGTATGTGTTTGTGGTAACACATACTCGTACGTGTGTGTGCGTTGTTTGGGTGGTCTTCACATGGGCATGGGGCCGTTCATGGCGTACGTTTGCATTGTGTACGCGGACGCGGGGCGATGCGGCCGTGCAACTGTCACAAGTGGCGTGCGTGCGCTTGGCTGGAATTCAGCGCTGCGAATGGAGCTGCAACGCACCCATGCCACCACAGGGGGCCGGTCGGCCCCCTGTGAGCGGTCAAACATCATTCAGCGGCTTCTACAATTTCGTCATCTTCAGTGCTGTCTCTTGTCCCTATCATACACACACACACGCACGCTCGCGCACCCACACGCGCACGCTTGCACACACACACACACTTACACACACACACACACACACATGTGCACGCATGCGCGCGTGTGCAACACACGCAGCAACACAACAACACCTGCAACACAACCTCACTCACACCCTTTAACCCCCTCCACACACACAGAGCTACGACTGGAGCCGTGGCTTCCAAGCCTACAACCCCTCAGCCATGCCGGCCGCCATCCTGCTGCACGCCACTCAGGAGAGCGAGGTGGGCGGTGGGGCACGGCCAGTGCTCGAGCGCGCGCACACACATGCACGCGGCATCAAGCGGGTCGGCGAGCGGCTGCTAGGCGTGCAGCTTGCATGGCTGCTGCCACGCGGCCCCATCGGCGGTCCCGAACGTCCCTTCGGCCCCTCACGCCGTCCTCCCCCGCGCCACCTCGCGCCCACGTTTTCAAAAGGTGAAGGCTCGTGCCAAGGCCCCAGCCACCGGACGCAAATAGGAGCGCCACCTGCAAGGGCTCTGCCCCTTCACTCGCCCCTCCTGCCAGCTCGCACGCACCGACCGCCTGCATCGTCAGCCAGCCGCCAGTCAGGCCCCCGGGGCGGTCACAGAGCTTGCCGTGCCGCCCTTTGGGTGCCACGCCCCCGCGCGCCCCGGCCCTGTGCGCTTTGGCCGGGCTGTTGCGCCGTGCACCCTGCTTGTAAGCGCGTCTTGCAGCTGTGCTGTGACGAGTGGGCGCTGCACTTGTCAGGCAGTACAGAGAACAGTGCAGCATCAGCGACGGTGGGACGGCCTTCATGCCTCAGGAAGCTCGAACCTGAAAGGGGAGGGGGACACCTGTGAGATGGCGGGACCCAGCCTGGGGCAAGGGCGGGGCTATTGCCGAGAAGCAGCCAAGGCTCCCTATTTAACCTTGGATGCTGCTGGCCATCCGATCAACGACCATCTCGAGAAATGTGCTCCCTAAAAGTGAGTGCACTGGTCGTGCCGCGCGTGACCAATGTGGTGCCTCCGTTTGCCAAGATGACGGGCAGGAGGCAGCGGAATGGGCAAATGCAGTCCCATGCCTGCCCCTGCACTTGTGGAGGGCGACCTGGCCCCGACACAACTCAATCTGGGAAGCAATTTAAGTTGCTTAGCGCACAATACTTGATATCCTCAACAGTACTCCGACGCAGTCGCGTACCGTGCTTCAGTCGCTGCCCGAAACACGTTGATCGACCGAGCCATAACATCAGGGCCCCTTTTATTGATTACACGTTTCCCTTCAAACGTCCCAACTTGCCCCCAGTCGCAAGGTCGGTGGCCGGACCACTGACGGTCAGCCAATTGGTGAAAAACAAGATGAGGCCTCAAGGGGGAAGCCCGAGAGGTAAGAGCGAGCTGACAGTCGTAGTGCATCGCGGAAAAGGTACAGCGTGCCGGCGCGGTATACGGCGACGCAAGAGCTGTGACTCACGTCATTCCAATCCGGTGTCCAGTGTCCGTGACACAACACATCATAGGGGAACTGCAGTGGTGGCTCACAACCCTGAAAAATGCAGAACAACATGCAACTTTTGTTAAGAATCGATCAATAACCCCATAGGCCAGGTTTGCGTTTGGCCAACGCCATGCTGCGTAGCAGTTTTTTTTACTCGGCCACTCCCCTGCCCTCCCCTCCGCCCCGCACCCCCCCCCCAAAGCCCTGCTCCGCTGCGCGACGCCGCTGATATGGCTGCTGCTCACCCTGGCCGCACAAGGCCTGCATGTTGTCGCGGCATCTTCCAGGATGGAGCCGATGGCGGCTGGCCAGACGTGCCGCGCAGTGGTTCCAAACTGCGCCACATGCTCGTACCGCTGGCTGTCCGGCAAGTACGCTTTGCTGTGCCTGACGTGCGAAACCAACTACAAATTGATCGTCAAGTCAAACGTGTGCTGTGAGTTTCCAGGGGTTGTATTTGGGCGGACGCATTGCGGGCAGAGCGGCAACGAATGTCGGAAACATATGAGGGCGCGGTGGCGGTGGTTGCTTCTGGATGCGGCTGGTCGTACTTGAAGGTGCAGGCCCTCAGCCGGCGCCTGGACGGATGGGGGGCGTGGAGTGGGTGCAGCAGACGGCAGAGTGCTGGGAGGCGATGGGGGGGGACAGCGGGTGCTGAGGATGCTGGCGCATAGAGGCTGCAGCAGTATAACAGTGGCGGCGTGGCAGGGCGGAGAGCCTATCTCATAGGCGGGACTGACGTCACCGCTGCAGCCAACCAACCAACCGTGGCGGCCCCGCCCCCCCCCCTGCACAGCGGCACGGGCACTGCCAGTGACATATGCGCCGCGATCTCAGGCTCTGCGCAGCCAGTGCGGCCCCTCCTTCGCTCCCATCCGCACCACCCCACCGACAGCCCCCCCCCACTTCCCCATCCTCCCTTCCCCCCTCGCACCCTGACACGCCCTCAGTCTGGGAGCCCACGTGCTTGGGCGGCTTCTATTGGGACTCCGCCACGGCCAAGTGCACGGCCTGCGGCTGGGGCTACTACTGCACGGGTTCCGTCGGCGGCGTCGTCAACCGCGTGGAGTGCGTGAACGGCACCACCACCAAGTCCATGTACGCGAGGTCCCCCGGCGACTGCTGTGAGTGCTCACTTGTTGAGCTCCCGCCGGTCCGCTGTGCAGTATGGGCGATGCTTCAGTGCCATGCACGCCAGGCAAAGAGGGCACCGAGGACCTCGCCTGTGTGCTTGGCCGGCAACCGAACAGCGGGTGTCTAGAAACCTTACAATTGCCCCGCCAACTCTGTCCGGCCGTTTCTCACCGCACCCCTCTGTTGTTTAGTCGCCAAGGCCGGCTATGGTTGGGTGCGTCCCGGCAACACCGCCGGCAACGCTGTGCAGTGCCCGGCCGGCACCTACAACCCCAGCGGCTTCACCAAGGCGCCCGCCAGGGCGGTTGCGCCGGGCGCCGTGCCCTGGGGCTGCCGCGCGTGCCCGGGTGGCCTGACGACCGTGGTTGCTGGCGCCAGCTCAGCAATGGCGTGCACGGCTGCAAAAGGGTACTACTTTGATGCTGGCAAGGCGGTGCCTTGCCCGCTCGGATTCTACAAAAACACGGTTTCCAACGAGAATTGCAAGCCCTGCGCAGACGGCATCACCACCCAGAAGACGGCGTCGGTTGAGCCCGAGAGCTGCAACCGTGAGTCTTGCTGGGTGCACGCCATCCAGGGCGCTGATGCGATGCAATGGATTGCAAGTGGCCAGCTGGCCAGCCCCGGGGAAGCACGGCGTGCGCGATGGCAATTGATGCGAAGCCAACCCGCGACTTGCTGCTGGAGGCATCCCCGCCTACCTGTTGCCCCTTCAATCACCTTGTCTGGCAACCCCCCCTCCCCTGCCTGCGGCGCCCGCCTATTATGTTCAGTCCTGGAGCCTGGCTACGGAGTGGATGCCCAGGGCAACACGACGCCATGCGATCGCTACAGCTTTGGCCCCGGCGGCCTGGTCTGGACGCCGGGCACCAGCCAGCCGTGCATCCAGTGCCCCCAGGGGTCCATAACTGACACCCAGGGGGCCGTGTCGATGGATGACTGCCGCAACCCGCCTGGCTACGGGCTCGACCCCGTCACAAATGCCTCCTCAATTTGCCATGTCGGATGGTGAGCTTTGGGCCCCGCCCAGGGGCATGGCGCAGCCCTCTCCCTGCATCCCCCTTCCCCCACCACTCGCTGGATACGCGTCGCGCCTCTTGCACCAACCTAAGCCGGCACAAGCCGTCAATATTGAGTGCACGTCGGTGGCAGTGGTGCCTGTTGATGATTGTAATGTTAATGAGCCAACACCAGCATGAAGGGACCACCGCTCCCAGTGCCGTTATCGCTCATCAGATGATACTTTCCTCCACCAAAGCCATCAGCCCTTCCACACTAAACCCCATCCTTTGCCCGCCGGTGGATGTGCTTGCAGGTACAGCCCTGGCTGGAACCGCCTCCCCTGCCTGGCGTGCGGCAACGGCTTCCTTACCGAGGGCAACGCCTCCATCCACAGCGACCAGTGCTATGTCCCCGCCGGCTACGGCTCTGGCGTATCCGCCGGGGTGTGGAGCGCCTGGCCGTGCCCTGCGGATACGTACGCCTCCAACACGGCGACGTGGGGCCTGCAGAGGGTGGACTGCCTCCCCTGCCTTGACCACATGGGCACGCGCAACCAAACAGCGTCTCAGGGCGAGGCTGCGTGCGTGACCGACCCGGGCTATGGCTACTACGCAAAAGAGGTCCGCATCTGCGAGATGGGATCCTGGTCGGCCGGCCTCGCCAGGGAGCCCTGCACGGCATGCGGCCTCGGCAGAACGACGGCCGACGACGGCGCGACGGCGCTCGAGGCGTGCGAGTTTGAGAGCGGCTGGACGGACGGCGGGAACGGCGCCGCGACGCCCTGCCCGCTCGGCAGGTTCAAGGAGCAGCTCGGCCCCCAGCCCTGCGACGCCTGCCCCAATGGCACCTACACCACGTTTTACGGCGCCAACCTGGTGTCGGACTGCAGCGTGTGCATGCCGGGCTACGGCGCCCCCGGGGGCAGCATCAACCCCCTGAAGCCGGCGTGCGCGATGTGTGGCTACGACACGTACAGCAGCGGGATGGGCGCCATGGCGTGCACAACGTGCGGCGCGGGCATGGTTTCGCGGATGGTGAGGGGGCACGCGACCAGGGGCCGGATTGCGCTTGCAAATGAGGGCGCACGCGCAGGCGCCCTTTTGCAGCTGTTTTGATCAATCATGTGGCTGGGGCACGCGGGGCACAACATCCTGCCATCAAGCAGGCTGAACCTGCTCACTGGAGGCACCCTGGACAACGCAGCTCGATACCACTGGCTGGTCAGGGGCAAGGCGCTTCCCCACCCAGAGCACCGTCAAACACCCAGGGATTGATCTGACCAAAATCGCCAATAATCTTACATGTTTGCTGCTTGCCAACCGCACTCTCATCATTATGTGACACGCAGGGCTCGACCCGAGCAGAGGATTGCGTCAGCCAGTTCCAGTCCAGCGGTGGCGCCAGCTCAAACCGCTTCGACACAGTCAGCATGGACCCCACCGCACTGACCGCCTCCGCTGCCTCAACGACGGCCGCTGCGTGCGCGGCTGCGTGCGCCGCTGCAGGCGGCGACGACAATGGATGCCAGGTTTGTTTTTGCATCTTGGGAGCGGGCTGGCCGCTTGGGACCCTCCGCACTCGCGCATGCAGCTGGGGCTCTCTCTTACCCTCAAACGCCCCCAGCCACAATCCTTGCTGCCAGGCCAGATGCTGGCCGCCCTTGGAGGGTGCAATTGCATTCCAGGCCTCTTCCCCTATCCACCCTTGCAAACCCCCCTTGCACCGCACAGTACTGGGAGTTCCGCTCTGCATGGCCAGAGGGAGAGAGGTGCAAGCTGCGGCTGCTGGGGCTGGCGCCCCCATTGAATTTCAGCAACGCAGATGTCAGCCCCAAAGTGCTGTTCCAGGTGGGTGGTGGCTGCACACGCACGCGGGCTAGCAGCGGTGATGGCCAGCAACAGGCACCAGCAGGGAAACCCGCTTCAGGCCCTGAAGCGGATGCAGGACCTGACGATCAGCTGTGCCAAATGCACAAGCATGGGCTGGCTTGTATGTGAGTTGAAGGAATCAGCAAGCTAGTACACATGTTGGGAGATGACGATGCACTCTGCTTACCGATTACCGCCAACCGCTCTGAGAGGCCTCCAACCCCTTGTGCTGAAACCTCCGTTCTTCGCCGCACGCATGATCAACATCGCACCGCTTCCGCGCAACTCTGGCGCCCACGTCCATGCGCGCCGCGCTCAAACATGCAGGTCAAGCTTGGGACGTATTCGGCCTACTATGCCCACGAGAGCGATTGGGCAAACCTCGGCATAGCCCCTGACACCGCAGAACCCCTTGATTACATCTCATTCGAAGACGCCCAGGCGGTCTGCGAGTCCCTCAGCAAGTGCCTGGGGATCAAATATGACCCGCAAGGCGGCGACACGCCCTGGAAGCTGTTTGCCGGGGGGCTTCTCGAGGGAGCTTCTTCTCAGGTTCGGGTTACGGGGCCTGCTTTGAACCCCTGGACGGCCCCCGGCAGTGACCTGGGGACTATCGTGTCGTTTGCCGCCAGTGCTGCTGGCCCCGGGGCCGTTGGGGGTATGCCCGTCAAGCCCATGGCAAACACGATCGCAAAGGCGACCGCACTGCGGGCGGCGGCAGCGTCGGCTGCCGCGACCCCCCTCCATCACGACCGCTGACGAGGCCGTGGCAGCCTGTCACCGACCTCTGGGCGTTCAAATCCATCTGGACCTATACATCACTGCTGGCTTTAAGTATGCCACTGCCTTGCCGGCGGGCCCTGAGCAGCGCACGGCATCACTGCCGCTGTCAAGATCGTCTGAGGTCGAGCGCCTTGCCCTTCCTTGGCATACTCCATTATTTACCCGCCCAACACCCACCACAGCCTTGGAAGTGGCAAGGATCTTAAACCATTCACAAGTTCGCTTGCAGCACCACATCTGTGCAGACTTCCATTCCCCTCTGATCTCTTTCATCTCTTGAGGGGGCCAGGTCCCCGAAATGCGCGACACACACGTTGACGTGTGTCTTTGAAGCAGGTTTGCCCTGCGGCTGCGTGGCTTCAGCATGGCGTTCAGTATACTTGGTTTGCCACGCATTGTACGGCCGGCGTCGACCAAGAGATAGAGCCTTGCCCAGTGCAGGGAGCGCCAGTGCGGGCGCGTAATGCACCCTTGACCTCACTTTCACGCAAAGGCGGAGATGTGTGTGCAAACATGCAAGAGCATGTCGCACCTGCCTCGCAACGCTGGGCAGGCGGCACAAAGGCGCACACTCACACGGCGCTTGTTCCCATTTGCTATCTTAGCACGTTTGCGCATCGTCAATGCGCACCCAGAGGTTGTTGGCCTGTCGAACGCGACTTTTAACACCAGGATTACTGTGGGTCTTTCCCTGATGCCTTTCTTTAGCACTCCTGCGTCTCACATCCCTTCCAATCGCTTGCAGCATCAGCCATCCCTTTAAGCCGCTTGCATCCTCCACGGGTCCCGTGTCGCATCCTGCTTTCGGCTCTTAAGCCTGCGTGGCGCTGCTGTGCGCAAGTGGGTCACCACATTTGTTGCGCATCTCTTTGCCCCTCCACTCTAAGTCCAGTTTCTCGTTGCACACACATCCAGAACTGCACACTCACTGGCATTTGCCTAAAGTCTGCAGAGTGTTTACCCCCTGCCCGCAGCTTTTGACCATGCATCCTCCATTCTACATTTTAGTGCGGCAATGCCCACGGGTGGTGATGGTGGCCCCTCGGACATACAGGGCGACAGGTGGTGGGTGGCGGTGGTGGCCACCACCGGGCCGCCGCATGCTGCTGAGAGGCGCTGCTGACATATTGGCCTGGAGGTAAAATGCAATACAAAGTGCCATGCGCCCCTTGCTGCCGCACCTGCGTATGCAGCGTGAGTTTGGTCATTGCCACCCTGATCATTCAGTTTTCCACACGCAGCCGGCACATACTCTCTGCACACGTCTCGCCTACGCACACAGCCAGGCCAGTCCAGGCCCGCATTCCAAAGATTTGCCTTGTCGAGATTCGCAATCCTGCCCACTTGAAAGCCAAGCACTTTGTTGTTAGCCGTTGCTGCCTCCCATGCGGCCAGCAGCAGCTTGTGAGAGTGACTTCATTGGTGGCTGCCAGGGCGCAGGGGTGCATGCTTTGACCTGCAGCGGATGATGGTCGAAGATATGCACCTGCACACAGCTTTGCCCTGCTGCCGCTTTCTTGCGTGCATACACATCAACCCCGCCTGAGGTTCATCGATCAGCCCTCTGATGATACTGCAGAAGCCATGCTCGCACTTGTATATTCACCGCAACCTTCCCTTCCCGTTTTTGTGCAACTGCATACCAGCAAGGCTGTGTTTGCAAGCTTGCTTTATGTGCTTGAGGTCACCCCAGACTTTTTGCGGGAGCCTCTCAGCTGCCAGTGGGCAGTCATCTCAGTGGAGCGTGTGCAGCAGGCAAGCTTTATGCTTGGAGCAGGCGGCAACTGATGGCCTGTGGCCTGCGAGGCTGAGGTTTCTGCACAGTAGCTTTCATCGAATATTGTGCTTGCAAGTGTGTTGTATGTGACACCAGGTGAGCAGGTCAAGCTCTCCTTGCGCATGGGCCAGCATCATGACAGCAGCATCAAGCGACGGAGGGGTGGTGCCCCACAAGCAAATACAACAGCAAGCAATTTGGTTGAGCTTGCATTCTTTTGATACCTTTCTGGTGAATTGCAGCCTAGACAATTAGCTTGCTCTGTAATTGCAAAGTCAGCTTACTGATGGCCTCAAGACATAGCGTACATCCTGATATGGTCATTAGAATGGGTTGGCGCGCAGCGCAGCAGACACTTGTTTGCTGTCCTCCAACAGTTGCTGCACCTCAGCGCATGCAGCACCCCGCTGTCTATATTTGCCAGCAGGGCAGTGTTGTAGCACTGCAGCAGCTGACGCTCCAGACTTGGCTGCACAGGGCCCAGGGCGGCAGGTGGCCCTTGTATTTGTTGATGTTGAGGCGATTGATGGCCACATCTGCCGCTGGCCTTACCCGTGGATGACGGTAGCTGTGCCGCTGACCTGCAGGCGCTGCTCTGGTGCACGCCACGGCAGCGGCCACGGCAGCGGCCACGGCACCGCATGGCACGGCAGCCGCCGCCAGGCATTCAATGTCTCCAAACCGCCTCAAGCGCCCAAGCAGGCTAAGTTGCTTGATTTTGCCTGGCGCCGCCGGTTAATCAGCACGGGCGACTTTCGGCTTATGCAGATGCGACCTGCAGGCAGCAGCTGCCCCTTCTGTGTCCGTGCAGGCCTGGTGCTGCACCAAGGACCGAACCGACGCCCCTATTTCTGGCCAGCATCAGCAGACAGGCCGGGTTCCTTGTTACTGGCTTTGATTGGTGGTATTATTGGTGGTAAGTGGGCGGCTCGCTCTATTTTTTGCTGAAGGGAATGCCGCCGGGCGCGGTCCCAGCCTTGGCCGCCTTCTTTTCCTTGTCGGCTGCGCGCTTGGCGTCCTTTGCCTTGCCGCCCTTCGGCTTGTTCATCTCAGATTTGCTGTTAGACTTGGGCTGCGCAAGCAATGAGGAAGATGGGGGGTGTTGGGTCAGCGGCCCAATCCATGGCGATGTGTATGTTGTAAGTATGTGCGACACAGCCGCCGCTGCATTCACACGCCGCCAGCTTAGTGCTAGCCGGGCAACAAAACGCCCCTAATCGAAACGCTTCAGCAATTCATAGACAATGCTACAGTGCCGGAGGCTCCGAAGCATCAACGAGTCGTTACTGTGGCTATCAGTTTCCGGGTTGTGCCAGCAACTCCGCCTCAATGCACGCGGCCTAGGCACAGCCTGCCTCTGCAGACGCTTGCCTTATATTCCTCCTTAGGTGCCATCTTGAAGACTCCTGGCCAGTTTTGGAGCGCAGCAACCTGATCACGTATCTGATCTCGCGCCAATCGCCTACTGTTGCTCGAAGAGACCAGAAATAGGGTAATGCTGCTGGAAAAATGAAGCAATATTTTGCGTACGATGAATTAAGCGTGCAAGCATAACCTCAATAAACAAACCCAGCTGCCGCAAGCGCGCCAGAGCCTGCTGGACTTGCTGCTCGCACATTTGACGTCGAAGCCGCGCGAGTCCGACCGCCCGACGCCCGCGCCGCTGCGTCCGCCTGTGCTGCGCGCTTGTCGCTCAGCTGCCAAGCCGGCACGCGACCGTGAGCTTGGGGTCGTAGCCCCCAGACTGAAACTTGCCGTCCGCGGTGCCGTAGTTGCACGGAAAGTCGTCGACCAGCGCGGCCGCCTGGGCAGCGCCGTGGTACGTCGCCACCACAGCGCAGTCCTCGGAGTGCCCCTTCTGCCCGCCGCCGTTGTGCGAGTTGGGCTCGCCGCGCGCCCAGGGAAACCCCACGCCCACCGGCGCGCCCCCTGCCGCCCACACCCAGCCGCCGGCGGGCTCGGCCGCGCCGGGGGTCTGCGCCGCGCCGACATATGCGTGGAACACCGCGCCCTTGCTCTTTGCCAGCGACAGGGCGAGGGCGGCGAGTCGGGCGTACTCCCCTTGGTTGCGCCAGGAGGCCAGCTCGCCGCCCCTCACGGCACAGAATGCGGCCGCCCATTCAAAGTTGGCCTCGAGGGGCTTCAGGTGCCGAGCCAGGATGAAGAACGTCGGCCCGCCGCCGGGCGCCGCCGGCGCCGACGTCACGACCGGCGCTGCCGCCGCGCCCGCGAGCAGGGACTGCCAACGCGAGAGCAGCGCTGCGCGGTGAGCGGCGCGGGCGCAGCCGGCGCCGCACAGCACGCCCGCCTGCCACAGGCCTGAGGGGCTGCTGGGTCCGGGGCTGGCGGCCTGCGGCGCCGCTCCGGCTGCTGTGACTGATAGCAGCATGCAGCAGCCCAGCAGCAGCAGCACCACCCCTGTTCGCCGCAGTGGTGCTGACGAGCGCATGCCCGGGCGTGGTGAAAATAATTTGATGCGATTCATACGGATGTGTACAGCAAGCGTTACACGTGCAGAATGGGTTGTTGATCGGGCTGGACAGTCGGTTGGTGTCTGAGCGGCCTGGACGTACCCTTTCAGCGGTGACTTGCACTGTAAGAGTTCAGGCTTCGCGGACGCAGCGCTACACAGCACGCAGTACGGGCAACCACGGCTATCTGGAGGGCAATCACCCCAGCGTCACCAGCCCAGGTCACCCTGTCATGAGGTACAGTAGGAAACGTTGCAACGGCTGCCATACCAGCACAGTGGCTACGCCACCCAACACGCATGCCCTCAGGGACATCAAGATTCCCAGTGATGCCTGGCAGGTTGCGAAGCTGCAGGTATACCGAGCCACGCACTAAACCAACACCGCAATCGAGCGACGCACCAGCCGCTCAGGAGCCGCCACGCCCCGTCGCCGCCGCCGCCGCAGCCGGCGCCTTGGCCGCGTTGGCCCTGATGGCTTCCTCCAGCCGCGCCATCTGCGCCTCCCTCCCCTCCCCGCGCTCGTCCGAAAGGTTGAAGGCCCGAAACACCATCAGCCCGCCCGCGTCCCCACCAGCGACGAGCACCGGCGCGCCGCGCGGCGCAAAGCTGACCGCCGTCGCGCGCGCCTTGGTGCTCACGTGCTGCGCGGCGGGCCGCAGCGTCGACGCCGCAAAGTCCCAGACCTCAAGCCTGCCGCCCGACGTCACCGCGGCGAACGCAGTCGAGCTGCCCGGGCACCACGCAGCGTCGACCACCTCCTCGCCGCCGCCCTGGAATGATATCAGCGGCGCCCCCGCGCGCCCCTCCTGCCACAGCCTCAGGCCGCCATCCCCCGACGCCGACAGGAAGAGGTCCTGGCGGTACGGCGACCAGGCGACGCGGTGTACCGCCCCCAGGTGGCCGCGGTACGACTCGAGGTACTGCCCGCTGTAGGAGGTGCTGCACTTGTGGACCCAGCCGTCCTCGGTGCCTGATGGGTGGAGGGCCCAGGGGCGCGCGGGGCGGCGGGTGAGACGCTGGCGGGGCGTGCGGCCAGGGGACGGTGCGTGGGCGGCGCGGAGAGGCGGCCAAGCTTGCGGACTCGCATGGCGGGCACGCCGCAAGGCCGGCTTGGGCGATTCGAGGACTGTACTGCCCTGCTTCTCTGCAGGGGCCTGCATACACGCATGCGGCTGGGCTCTGTGCGCAATCAGCACCTTTCCCCTCCCCCGCGCACCTGCCCCTTGCCTCTCGCCAACCCCCGCTGCATCACCCGCTCACCTGCCAGGTAAATGCTGCCATCCCTTGGGCTGAAATCGAAGCATAGACCGCCGGCCGAGCGGCTGATAAACGCGTCCCTCTCCACAGCCGCACCCACCAGCGGCTCCCGCTGCTGCCCCCGCCCCCGCTGCTGCTCCCGCTGCTCCTGCCGCTGCTCCTGGGCGGGGTGCCCGTCAGGCTGAGGGGGGCGCCTCGTGCCTGCCGGCTGCTGCTTATCTCCCGCCGCGGCGCCTCGGTCTGCACGCGCCTGCGTCTCCCGCTGCTGCAGCTGCTGCGCCGCTGTTGCACCCGCCGCTGCTCCCGCCGCCGCCGCCTCCTCGGCCCTGCGCGGCGCGGGCGGCAGCCCGCCGCCGCCGATGTGGTGCGGCACGCGGCGCAGGCGCAGCAGCACGGTGTGCTCCAGGCCTTTCTCTGTTGACCACTGCACCAGGCGGCCGTCTGTGCTGATAGACAGCAGCACCTCCTCGCGCTCGGGGCCGCGGTCCAGCCAGCGCACCTGTTGGTTTTCAGGCAGGATATTGAGCGGCTGGGCGGCGCGGCAGGGTGTCTTTTTGATTCAAATTTCAACCCTCATGCGCCTGGATGGCTTCAGAAGCCGGCGACCGCGGGGCGTGTATCAGCTTTATCCTATCCCATGCAAGGTTCCGTGCAAGAGGAACCAGCACGCTTGCCGACGCCCCGGGTGCCGCCTCTGGGCAGGAGCGGGGCGGCGCAGTTCTCGATATCCCCCCTCTTATGAGACAAAAGCCGCGGGAAGCATCGCGGGCCTCAGTGCAGCGCGAATGCGTCCTCCCGAGCTGCAGTTTGGCGCGATCCGGCGCGCCGCACCTGCCACACGGGCCCGGCGTGCTTGCCATTGGAGACGGTGCTCTGCATGACCGGCGCCGCCGCCGCGCCGGGCCGCACGTCGTGCACGGCCACCGTGCCGTCCCGCAGGCCTACGGCCAGCAGGCTGGGGTTGCGGCGGGAGAAGTCCAGGGAGGTGACGCCTGGGAGGAGCAGGGAGGGTGGGGGCGGCGGGTTGTGTGTGTGTGTGTGAGAGAGAGAGAGAGAGAGAAACAGAGTGTGTGTGTGTGTGCGTGCGTGCGTGCATGTGTGTGTGCGTGTGTGTGCGTGTGTGTGTGTGTG